GGCCTTATTTAAATTGTTGCATAGCGCCTGTGAGAGCATTCCATACTTTAATTTAATTTATTTTATTAAATGCCAGCTTACAGGCATTGTCAAGCGAAGCGATTAGACACAAATCCGACCAGCAGTGAAAAAAAATCTCCTGAAGAATAAAAATAAAGTTGATGGTGGTTTTTATGGTTCGGAGGGTTCGGGAGAAAAAAAACTGCTGGCGGCATACATTCGACCGTCAAGAAGGGGAGGAGGGGGTTGCACGGTATCGAAGATTATCGGACGTCAATTCCTTTCATGAAGTTGGGGATGGTCGAAGTTGAGACGTTTAGGAACAGCTGGTGAGACCGGCCATAGTGTTCAGAGACCACAAACGCCATCGCTACGGTACGGTCGATCAGTGGATTCAGAACCCAAAATTTGAGGAAGCTGTTCTGAATGCAAAAATCGAGTAATAGTCCTCTTCAATAAAGGATAATTTTGCAGAGTTTCTACATTCATTGGTAGTTTATTCCAAATAGCAATTGCATTTACAGAATAGAACCGACGATATTTAACAGCACGCGTCAGAGGCAAAAATAAGAAGACCTCACGGTGACTGTTACGTCGTGGGTGGATATGATGTCTTAAAGAGGTGAGTGGATTAAATGTGTGCTTGTATAAGAGTTTAAATAGCAAAAATAGTCCCTTTTGTAATCTACGGAACCATAAAGGATCAAGGCCCGTAAACCGTCAGCGTTCTTGGTAAGGCAGATGTCGGTGTTTTGGGGTTAAAATTCTCTTGGTAAAAAAGTGTTGAACGGATTCTATTTTCTTCCGCTCAGTAGCACGCATGAGGCTAAATAAAAACGAACAGTATTCCAGACCAGGTCTAACGTACATGTTGTAAAGGCTCATTCTGATGTCCCTAGTTTTAAAGTTTCGGAGGATAAACCTGGTCGTTCTGCGTGCTTTGGAGACTATGAATGCACAGTGCTCCGATAGATTGAGACTCTTGGAGTATGATATGCCCAGATCCTTTATAACCCTGGGCACATTTATGGAGTGACCTTCAATATTTAGTTGAGGTTGGTGGTCGTCGCCAACCACCATGACTAAGCACTTATGCTAAGAAAGAGAAAGGCGCCATGCGCGGCACCACTGGGCGAAAGCCTGTAGATCGCTCTTTAGGAGCTCATGCACGATGTCTTGATCTGCCGGCTTATATCGATATGCAACTTTAAGATCATCGGCATACATTAAAGGCTTACCATTCTGAAATAAATCGGGTACATCATTAACGAAAAGGCAAAAGAAAAGCAAGCCGAGTTCACTACCCCGAATAACTCCACTCCTCACACGTGTGGGGTTGGAGATTGTATTGGAAATCTTAACTAGTTGTGTACGAGTGCCCAGGTAAGAGGATATAAAATTCAAAAGTTTGCCACCTATTCCGCAAGAGGACAGTTTCAACACGATCTAAAGCCTTAGTGAAATCGAAATATACTGTGTAACGTGCAAAACCATTGTCCCTAGATTGGAGAACATAGTCAAAGAAAGAGAGTTGACGGGTGTCACAAGATCGAGCTTTGAGGAATCCATGCTGAGCAGCACTCAGTAGGTTATTCACTGTTAAGTGACACATCATCTTATCCTTGATCAAGGTCTCTAAGATCTTCGAAACTGCGGGGAGTGTGTTTACTGGCCAAAAGTCATCAAATGATGTAGATTTGCCGTGCTTAGGAATGGGCAGAATGTGTGATTCCTTCCACAAGGTAGGATAGGTTTTAGTTTCAAGAGCAAGATTAAATATCTTGCATAAGAGGGATGAGAAGATCGTGTTTGCATCGGCTTTTAAAATGCTTACAGGGTCACCATCAGGGCCTGAACTATAAGATAGACGAAAACGCCGAATCGAAACAGTCACATCCCACAGAGTGAAAGTTATAGTTTCTAGAGCTGCCCCGGTCAATGGCTGGATGGTCGGAAGCGGAGTGGTCGAGTCTTCGATGAACGTTTTGGACAGGAAATCATTGAAGTTATCAGCGATTAACTGGGCATCAACTATGTGATTTCCGAGAGCGTCTCGGAGGATGGGATGCTGCGTCTTTCTATGAGTTCGTACTTTTCTAGAAAAAAGTTTTGAGACATTTAACGAATGGTTTTCGGTAAACTGGACCTCTTCGGCTAGCTGATTTTTCTTCAGACAATCTCTTAGCTCGATCAGAAATATCACAAATCAAGGGCAGAACAGAAATATCGTTCTGAAAATGGAAAAGACAATAAAGCCTGCGCAATCTGCGACGAAAGGTTAAGGGTAGGAAAACCTCACCCCCAACATTAATAATTTTCTTACGGGGGACAAAACGAAAAATAAGCGAATCCAAAATTTCGTACAGATTTGCAGTGCAAACATTTACATCCGAACTAAGGAAGAAATCAGTCCAGTCGTAGGAATTAAGGTGTGTTAATAATTCGGTTGAGCGAGTTGATCGGAAATTGCGGAAAAAGCAATACTTTGGGGACGACATTTTGTCAGTCTCGAATTCCAACTTTGAAACAACTATGTCATGGTCTGAGCCCCCCAGTGGGCCTAAGGATGACACTGACGATGGCATGCCTCCTCTACAGAAAATTAGATCAAGTATGCTTGAGCCTCGGGTGGGAAAATCGACAACCTGACTCCACATCCCAACATCCACAGCCTCAAGAAAGTCTTCGAACGTTCTGGGGCCTGATGGCGGAGACCAGCGGACTTCGGGGAGATTAAAGTCACCCGCAACCAATTGACACTTAAAGATTGAGTCAGCCGCAGCATGAAATGCCTGTAAGAGTAAACGATCAAAATTGTCGTTGGCGTTGGGAGGGCAATAGACGCAACCAACGAGTAAGGAGAACTTATTTTTTAGTGCAACCTGGAGCCAGCAGCTGCCTTCTACTGCGGAAAAATGCGGGGGGTCCAACGGCAAAAATGTAAGTGTTTGCTTACCGTAGACGCAGCTGCCCCCACCACGGCTATCTTGGCGATAATTTCGGATGTAATTATAGCCTAGAAGAGAGAGTTCGGAGTCAGCTACTGAGGCTGATTCCCACGTCTCAGTTACTAAAACAATATCCGGACAATGGACGAACGCCAGAGTCTGAAGCCAAGGCATCTTATTAAGCAAGGATCTGACATTTAAAACAAAAGGTTTGAAGGGAAAGGCTGTTTGTTTCTGAGGGAATTGGGCTACATCGTCCAGTTCTGGGCAGCCCATGGAGCAAATGGTTCGGATGAAACTATCCGGTCACGTATCTTATGGGACAGATTTTCGCTCGTTGTCATGATTTATCTAGGGAAGTTTAGTGGTATATTGGCTAATAAAACTATTATTGGGTCTGTTGTGGTCTGCTAGCATATTCATCTTTAGCATATTCTGGTCATATGTGATCCTAAATAAGAAATCAAGATTAATATGGGGTCTGTTTATTCAAAAGGCTCAAATACTGTTCTTATTATTTAGTCTTGTGTACGAGTCCTGGAGGCTGTCGCGTCTAAACAAACATCCATCAAGTGGTCGCTGAGTGCCTTCTAGACTCCTTTGGCTATGTGATGACA